TCAAGGGTATGTGTATATATATATATATGTACATATATAATATATACACATGGCAGCTCATATACACGTACATCAAAGCTTTCCTTGTACATCTATAGAGAGAGGTTCATCAAAGCTTGTCCTCGCGATGTGGGACCAGTCTGAGGCTATGCCTTGCAGCTCTTTCGCTGCCGCTGGCACGCCACCGCCCCAGTAGCGAAGCAGCAACACCTAGGCGCCCAAGCAGAAACTATTAACCCTAAACCCGAAATCCTAAACCCCAAATACCCTAAACCCTAAACCCCAAACCCTAGACTCTGAAGCCCTGAACCCTAAACCCTAAACCCTAAAAGCCGAACCAGGGGAACCTGGGAAAGAAAAGCAAACCCCAGATTCCCAACTGTAGGGCTTCTGCTTCGCCTTGCTGGGTTTAGGGGCTCAGCTTTGAAGATATTGAGTTTAGGGTTTAGGGTAGAGGCTTGAGAGAATTTCCTTCTTCTTACTTGTTGCTAAACTCGACTATTGAGCCGGGAAACAAGCTTTAGGGTTTAGGGTTAGTAATGAAGAGTAAGTACCGTTCCACACTGGATGGGAACCCGAAAGCACAACGGGACAAAACAAAAAAACGCCCGGAACAATCCAAGTCTAAACCCTAGTAATCATAATTATACTGACAGTACGTACTTCTAACAGCAGTACTAACAAACCGTAATCAAAATATGAAGAAGAATGCAAGTGCTACTGTGAAGCCAGGGCACGACAAGAACTGAGACCAGCCGACGGGCGAGGACTTCGTAGGCCCAGGAAGTGTAATGCACCAAATCCCAGACAGCGGAGGCAAACACCTCCAAACCCCTAAACCCGGAACCCTAAACGCTTTGGGGTTAAGGCTACCGAGTAGTTACTACGTTACCACTAGTACAACCCCTTAGAGCTCGCATGAGTTTGTACTTCGACACACTTTAGAGTCATGGGGCTCTGGGCGGTTGTAGGGTAGCGTTTACATTTCTGACCCTCTGTTTAGGGTTTAGGGTTTAGGGTTTAGGCCGAGTTGGGAATTAGAACAGCCCAGCTGCCAGCAGTCGCACATAGAGAAGCACCCTCACGCAGCCGGCCAGCATCTGAGGGCCTTGGCCTTTCATGGCATTGAAGACCGAGGACATGGCACAAGGAGCTCCAGGTCCGATCTCCGAACTCTCAACCAAAATGCCAAAATGCCCTAAACCCTAAACCCTTATAGCTCCCTTTAAAGGAACCCTCAAAACCCTATGAAACCCTTATAGATCCCTTTAAAGGAATCCCTAAACCTTCTGAACCAAGGACCCTAAAGACCTCCGATCCTAAGAACATGGACTTCGTAAGGTCTCAGGCGCTGGCGAACCTTTCCATGAGCAGCGCGGCAGGGACTCCGTGCATTTTGCATAAGGGTTTAGGGTCTTTTGGGGTGTAGGGTTTAGGGATTAAGGGGTTAGGGTTTAGGGCTTATAGCGTTTAGGGTTTAGGGCTAGGGTTTAAGGGTTTAGGGTTTAGGGTTTGAGCTAGGCATTAGGGCTTAGCGGCTGTTGCGGTCTTTCAGGGATGAAGAGACTTAGCACCACAGTTTTTTCCAGAAAAGGTTTCAACAGAGAGCCGAACGAGAGGGTGTTCATGACAGTAGCTAACTACCTATGGTCTCCATTGTAGTTCCTTTTCGGGGATACCTTCTAAAATCCGTACTATATAATTGGTTAAACCAAAAAAGAACTACAATGGAGACTATACGTACAGCCTATAGGGTCTGATGCACAGGCGAAACTAAACTGGAGAGCACAGGGTACATCATTTTGGACGGGATTTAGGTTGCGGTTTCAGGAAAGTACGGGTGACCTGTTGAGGGGTGTTCCTTTATGTTTCAGTATGCGAGTAGTTCTCTAACTTAGGGTCCCCCTTTAGGTCCTAATATAGTATGGCACACTCATAAAAAGGACCCCTCAAAAGGGACCCTAGTTTAGAGAACCACCCAAATGTCGGGTAGGGCGGGGCTAGATTGCACCTGCTGGATCAGCCCCGGTTAGTTGGGTAGTTCTCTAAATTAGGGTCCCTTTTTAGCTCCCCAATATAGTACGGCACCCGTATGAAAAGGACGCCAAAAGGGACCCTCGTTTAGAGAACTACTCACTTGCGAAACGCCGAATGCGGTACTTCAGAGAAACGATGGGTCTGCTACTTGGGAGTTTCCGAAAGCAAGGGGTCCTTATAATAAGGTTCCTACTACTTCCAGGGAAACCCCCATTTCAGGGTTTACGGTTTAGGGCTTTGGGTTTAGTGTTTGGGAACCCTTAACCCTAGACCCAAATCTCTGAATCAGGGCTCTATAGGAACTTGAAAGCAAAGCTGCATACGTAGGGAGGCCTCATCGTCCTGGGACAGCGACGCAAGTACCTCCGCTTGAGGGTGCTAGCGCCGAGAGCTGTACACCTTCAGTTTTCCAGTGTATTGGTTGTGGGATTTTGGGTAAAAACAATCCCGAATCAGAATCAGCACTTAGTTTCCGGTTCATGCTCTCACCCGGGAGGGAACCGCAACACCTCAAGATGTTCTTGTCTTTGGCTTCAGACACCCGAGAACATGTCGCCGGAGAGCCTACTGCACGACTGGAGTATGGGAGTTTTATGGTTGAGGGAGGGTGGAAGGTTTGAGGTTGCAGGGCACCTGAACAATTAGGAAGAGCCTTTGGGTCATCAGGCTGCGGCTACATGTGTCTTCTTTCCAGTCTCGAGGCTCCCGATTTCCGGCCGCAGCACATTGAACCCTACTCTGGGTTCAGCGCTCCGGGCACAGGGTTTGGGGTTGTTTCTGGAATGGGAAGGTTGGAGGACCAGGCGACGGAGCAAGTAGGTTGGCAAGTTATAGTTAAGTATAGCAATTAAAGTCCATAGCATAGTCTAGCATAGCCAAATGGAGTAGTGTATAGTATATATTGCAGCATAGTCTCATCTTAGTACAGCTATGCCCACCTGGAACAAATACTGTTTCGCTCTCAGCATTCACTGCGTTTCTACTGTCCATGTGTACCGCACACCCGAAAGATACATTTAACAACCCCTGGAATTCCCAAACCCTAAAACCCTAAACTGGAAGAAAAGGTACCCCTACAAAGAACTACCCTTGAGCCGTCAGGCTACAAACGAAAGCTGAGGATGATACTCATGGTCACTATAGCTGTCATCACCTTACTACTGTTGATGATATATAAATCCTGCCTTACCTTCAGGACCCTAAACAAATCCTTATTATGGGAAATGCAGGATTCATGTCATCCACCGTAGCACGCCTTCTTCCAACCCCATGATCTCGGAGAAAAAAATCAATGATCTAGAAACATCGAATGCCGAGAGGAAGGAACAGGGTGCAAGGGTTTGGCAGCTTGTGGCCTTACAGTTAGGGTTTGGGGCTATATTATACTATACGTTGAATAGGAACCCCGAAACAGTATTGGCAGTCCTTGCGGCCCTATATTAGGGCTGGTGCTCCTCCACCATGCATACATCTCTATGCTGAAACCCTGCGTGCCGGAGCCTCAAACCTCCCGGAAGGCATTCTACCATAACTTCCGAATGAACGTGTGTGTATATATATATATACATACATATGTATCGGAAGAAAAAGCGAACGAACAACTCAACTGGTGAACTAAATAGCTAGTAGTTAACTAACTGACTGACTGCTGACCAACTGACTGGCCGGCTGGCTGGCTGCTTGACTAACTCTCTTACTAAGCAACGAAGGAACGAAAGAACCAGAGAACGAAGTAGCCGCGAGCCGGCTGACTGACACACTGACTAACCGACTGACTGGCTAAATGCCTGACT